CTCTCACTGCCTTCATTCTCCTCTCATTCCCTTCCTCCCCCTCTCATTCCCTTCATTCCCCTCGCACTGCCACCTTCATCCTCCTCTCACTGCCTTCATCCCCCTCTCATTCCCACCTTCATCCTCCTCTCACTGCCTTCCTCCCCCTCTCATTCCCACCTTCATCCTCCTCTCACTGCCTTCATCCCCCTCTCATTCCCACCTTCATCCTCCTCTCACTCCCACCTCCCCTCCTGCCCGGCCGCTGCCCTCCCTCACCTTTCTGCCTCCCAGACCACACCATTCCCATTCCCTGCCCAGAGCACCTCCTGGATGGGATTTTTACCCAGCCAGGCCGGGGAAAGGCTGAGCCCTGAGTGCAGAGCAGTTAATTAATCACTATTTATATCCCTGCAAATCCCCTCACCCCATCCCCAGCCCGGCCGCACGAGTTGCGAAATCTCTGCTGCTGCTTGCCAGGCTTTTCCCTCGCAAGTTGCACAAATTTCTGTCAGTCACACGCAACAAAACCCGAAAGCGGCTCCGCAATTCCGGCCTGGAATGGGAGAAGCAGCAGCTGGCAGCGGGCAGGGGCTGGGTGAGAGCTGGGATGGGCTCGGTGCTGCCAAACTCGAGACACACGAGAGCAGAGCCAGCTCCTCAGCTGCCCTGGAAGGATTTTCTGAAGCCGGGATTTGTCTCCCTCCCTCTTTCCCTGGTGTGATTTGCTAATCTTTCCAAAGGGAAACTTCTTCTGGTGTCACTCTGCCTTTCCTGCGGAGTGCCAGGCAGGAGCTGTCTTGACTGGGCTTGTTCATTCACAGAAGTGTCTTGCCTAATCGAGGAAATGACCTGTGAGCACAGAAATGCTCAGAAATACTTCTGTGCTCGGCGCAAAGATGCCAAAAACCGCCTTGAAAAATTCCAGTTCCTCCTTCCTCTCTTTTGCCATCACCTCCCTCCCGTCTCTGCTTCTCTTCCCACTCGTTTTCCTGCCCCGGCAGCTCCAGGTGGAGCAGTGGGAACACAAAAAGACGGGGAAATGGTTTGGAATGACTCTGAGCTGCTCTCGCTCACAAGCCAGGCATCCAAAATGACTCAACCACCCTCCCCCGGCACCCAGCAAATCCCCAGCGCAACGCAGCACGGAGAAAAAGGTGTGGCAGTGCCGAAGCAATTAGTCATTAGCATAAATAAGGGGGACTTTCCAAAGGCCGAGTCCATCCCGGGCAGGGCAGTGGCCGCACAAGGCTGCCATTCTCAGCCCTGGAGCTGGAAAATTACCGAGGGCACTGTAAAATTCCACCACGGCTCCTTTTTGGTGGTTTCTAATCCGGTGGCAGCTTGTGGCACCAGGGGCACAGCTCGGTGTCATCCCCCGGGAAAGGTTTTCCAGGAGAGGAGAGTTCCCTGCTCTGTTTTTGATGCCCCTTTGAGGTTGCTGCTGGTGGCAGGAGTCGTTCTGGGTGACAATGACCGTGACAGAGCGGCTGGAGAGATCTGGGAGATGTTCCCAAATCCCCGGCTATTCCCTGGGACAGGGATCTTTGGTAGGGATCTCCCGCCTGAGCGGTTTTACTTTCGTTTTATTTCATTATTCCTGGAGTTTTGGAGCCTCTAAAAAAACCTTTGGGATGGGGGAGTGGGGGAGTTTCTCCACGCTGAGGCATCACCTGAATTAAGACAAACATCAGCCTCAGGAATAAACCTTCCAAACGAGGTGGCTGAGGCTGTTCTAGACGTAGTGGTGAAGAGTTTTTCGCCAGCTTTTCTTTAGAAAAGCTTTTAAAATTTTTAAGCTTTTCTTTCGCTTAAAAAGAAGGAGAAAAACCAAAGGAGTCCATCCCAAAGCGTGATTTTTAAAAAATTTCCTTCGGTCTCCTCACGTCCATGTCAAGAAAGGGATAGCAAGATATTTGGAGATGCTATTGAAGGCAGCAGGAGAAAGCAACTGTGGATATTTTGGGAATGTTTATCCCTCAAGTTCAATGCTGCCTGAAAGAGCTGCTTAGAACACCCCAAAGAAACGAGCAGCATTTTATGGGGTGCCCTAAAAACCCCTCTGAGCTCCAGAAGCAGGAAGAGCAGCCAGCCCCGAAGTGTGAAAAATGGAGAATTTCACAATCGCAGCTCGTGTTGCTGCCCTAGCAGGTCGGTACAAAAACTGCTCCGGTGAAACATAAACCAAGCATCGCTCTCCTCCTCCCGGGCTGAACGTGCTGAACTTTTCTGGGCGAATCGCAGAGGTGCCAGTGACAGCCCGGCTTGGAAAGCTGGATTTTGCGAATTAGGGATGCATTGTTCTTTGTCTCCCAGGTGTGAGTCAGCCTGGAGAGCTGCGGGTATTTATTTGTTCGAGAGGGAGACTCTGTCCCACCCCCATCTTCCTCTTCCTCCTCGCAGAGTTGAGGAACGACAAAAAGAATTCAGCTTTGACCTCCCGGGAGGAGCTGCCGTGCCCTGTCCTGTCTGTGTGTCTGTCCCCAAGCCCAGAGGGACAGCGGGGCTCGGGGACAGCACGGGGATGGTGGCAGGCAGCTGGTGTCACCTCTGTGTCCTCCTGGCAGGTGACACCGCACCCCTCTGCGCTGTGCCAGGGCACAGAGTCCTTGGTGACCCGCACGGGGACAGGGGGGTGGCACCTCCTGCTCCCTTCTTGTCCCCGTCAAGCCGCAGGGACAAATCCAAAGCCTCCGAGCTGGAGGTGCCAAAGCCTGCCAGGTGACAATTCCTGCCTCACCTGTCCCCTCCCCAGCCTTCAGCTGCTCCGGGTCCCACACTCTGCCCTCTCCGGAGCTGCTCCAGCCCCGGGAATGCCTCCCGGCTGATGAATTCCTGGATCCCCACTGTTGGAAAAGATAAGGATTGGACAGGAAGGTCTCACACATGTGTGTGTGGAACAGAAAGATCCTTGAATGTAGAATCTGAAGAAGGAATAGAAATGAAAGCAAGTTTTGATATAGAAGAGCAGAATTGCTGGGCCAGTCTGACTGGGGAACGAGAAGGCAAAGAGTAAATGAGTTTGGAGGGGCTTTTATGGCTTAGAGCAAAGGAGAAACCCACCTCAAACAAAATATATTTTTACCAAGCAAAAAGATTTTTACAGACAAACAAAAAAGCCAATGTTGCAAGTAGAAAGAAAGGTCTCAACATTTTCCACTGCAAGAAAACTGAAAAACAACTTCTAGCTTAAACTGTGACACACTGACCTTTTGTGATTGGCAATAATAACATGAATATGGCAATGTCAGCAGTTAGGACAGGCTGTAGGTGATAGTGAAGGTATTGATTGGTTGTCAGGTATTCAGATGCTCTGCAATGAAAAGTCTAGAATGCATTGGAACCAGAACTAGAGAGGCTTCACACAAACCCCCAGCTGTGGCTGACAGGTGTGGGCTGGGCTCTTGTCACTACCTGGGAATTGCTGCATCCTCTGGATACAATGAACAGCATTTAAAATAATAAATAAATTGCTGGATCGTTTGGATACAATGAACAGCATTTAAAATAATAAATAAACTGCTGGATCATTTGGATACAATAAACAGCATTTAAAATAATAAATAAATGGCTGTATAATTTGGATACAATAAATAGCATTTTAAAGAGCTACCTGGACTCTCTATCCCTCATTTCAACCCTTCCACCCCACGCTGCCCCCCGAGGAATTCCTGCAATCCCGGTTTTAGCTGGAGCACGGGCAGGGCAAGGCTCGGGTTCAGCTGAGTCAGAGCACGTGAGATTTACCTGGTGTCACCCCGGCAGGGAAAGTTCACCCACAACAACAGCTCGGGGCAGATTTATCTGCTTTGTTTTAATCTGATTTATCTGCTTTGTGCTGCTCAGTTCCCATCTCCAGCTCTGTCTCCCCTGAAGTGCCGAGCTCAGGTGAGGGGCAGAGCTCAGGTAAATGAACCCAGGCTGCCCTGGGCAGGGAAATCGTGCCCTGCAAACACAGACACTCCTCCTGCTAATCGTGTACGAGGTGTAATAACCTCGTCTCCTGCTCCTCCTGTCTCCTGCTGTCGCAGCTCCCGGGGCAGGATTCAGCCCACCTGAGAGCACCACACCGGAGGTGTCGACCTCGGAGCTACCTGTCTAGACTGCAGACTTTGCTGCCAGCAGGGCAGAGCAGACGCTTGTGGGGTTCAAGTTGTTTCACCCTAAGGGAGACATCCCAGCCGAGCCAGGAGGGTGAATCACAGCCCAGGAACAGCTGTTTTTCCTCCTCGATGGCACAGATACCCGATGACTGTGTCAGACACAGACACACAATGTACAGATGGCTGGAAGCTCAGGGAAACCAATCCCAGCCTGGATACACCTCAGAAGTTTCTCTTTCATGGCGTGAAGCAAGACTAAAGGAAATGGAGAGATATTCCCTGAGCCAGCACCTGGAAGTCACACTGAGTCACTGTTTGCAGACGTGTGATTAAATCATGGAATA